CGGAAAGGCTGCACGTGTCCCACCCCCACCAGCAGGACAGGAGAGTTCTAATTCCTCCACTTCTCACCAGAACTCGGTGTTGAAACTATTTTTCATTTTACCCGATACACTGGGTCCACCAGCGATCTCGTGCGTTTCCCCAGCGGTGATGATGCTGGGCGTCTGTCACGTGCGTATCTGCCGTCCATTCATCTTGTTCAGGGAGAGGTCTCCTTGGGGCTCTTACCCGCTTTCTGATCGGGTTATTTCTTTTTCTACTGCCGAGTATTTTGAGTGCAGAATCTTCTCTCGGTCTGTGGTCTGCCTTTTCACCTCCTGGCAGGTTCTTCCTATAGAAAATTCTTTCAGTTTTGATCAAGTCCTACTTTACCAATTTTCCCTTTTATGGATTGCACTTTGGGTGCTAATCTAATTAAGCTTTGAGTAGCCTGGATCCCAAAGATTTTCTGCTATGTGTTTTTCCTTAAAGTTTTACAGTGTTATATTTGTTTATGATCTCTATTTAAGTTAACTTCAGTATAAGATACAAGACTTTAGTTCATGTTCACTTTTTTTTTTTCGACAGTGAGCACCGTTTGTTGAAAGGACGGTTTCGCCTTCATTGACTTATCTTGCATATTTTCCAAAAGAAATCAGTTGGGCAGATTCGTGTGGGTGTATCTTTGGGTTTCCCATTCTGTTTCCCTGGTCTTGTGTCCGTCCCTTGCCCCACACCACACAGTCCTCATTTCTGTGGTTACCTAGAAAGTCTGGGAAGTCGTCAATCCATGCCTCTCACTTTATTCTTTTTTCAAAATGATTTTAGCTAGTCTACTTCCTTTGTATCTCTGCGTACACTTTAAAATTATCTTGTCTATAAAAATAATCTTGCTGGGATTTTGATAGGAACTGTGTTAAAACTGTGTATCAGTTTGGAAGGAACCAATATCTTCACCAGGGTCTTCCAATCCATGAACATGGTATGCCACTCCATCTGTTTAAATCTTTGATTTCTTCCATTGACACTGTGGAGTCTTCAACAGACGAGTCTTGCATATTTTCTTAGGTTTATGCCATATATATATATTTTTGTTTGGTTGGTTTTTTGATCTATTACGAATGGCACTGTATATTTAATTTAGGTCTTACATAATTACTGCTGGTCTATGCAAATATAATTGATTTTTGTGTGCATCTCCTGGGTCCTGCAATCAGCTGATGTCCCTTACTTGTTCTGGGAGGTCTTCTTCCTAGATTCCTTAGAATTTTCCACATAGATAAAATTGTGAATCTGCGAAAAGGGACAGTTTTATTTCTCCCTTTCCACTCTGTGGCCTTGTGCCCCCTCTTCTCGTGTGACAATCCTGTAGAATTTCCAGCATTATGTGTGAGTGTACAGTTTTAATAGATTCTATTAGGTTGAGGAAGATCCCATCTGTGCTATTTTGCTGGGAGTTTATAGTCAGAACAGATGTAAATTTTGTCAAAAAAATTTTTCTTTGCATCTATTGATGGAAACTCATCTGGGCGCCTGGGTGGCTCAGTGGGTTAAAGCCTCTGCCTTCGGCTCAGGTCATGATCTCAGGGTCCTGGGATCGAGCCCTGCATCAGGCTCTCTGCTCAGCAGGGAGCCTGCTTCCCTTCCTCTCTCTCTGTCTGCCTCTCTGCCTGCTTGTGATCTCTGTCAAAGAAATAAAAAAATCTTAAAAAAAAAACAACCTCATACAGCTATTTTTTTCTTTATCTATTAAATATGATGGATGATGTTGATGGAATTTGAAATATCAAAAGAGCTTTGCATCCCTAGAGTAAATCCCACCTGATAAAAGTGTGTAATTTTTAAATATACACTATTATTCTATTTCCTTGGGTTTGGTTAAGGGATTTTGTGTCTGTTCATAAGGGATAATGGCCTCTTGTTCCTTTTTTGTTCTCTTTGTCTGATTTTGGTACCAGGGAACACTGGATCCATGGAATGAACTGGGAAGTGTTCCTTCCCCTTCATTTCTGGAAGAGGTTGTGGAGAATTAGTGTTAATTCTTTACATGTCTGGTTGAATTCCCCAGTGGAACCATCAGGGCCTGAAGAATTCTTTGGGGGCAGGGGGAATGTGTATGTCATGGATGAATTTCCTCACTAGTTACAGGGCATCCAAAGTGCCTAGTTCACACTGAGCGAGTTGTCACGGTGCATCGTCATGGTGAACCACTATGTACAGCGCTGCCATCCTCTTCCTGTCTACAGGCTGTGCAGTGAGGGGACCCTTTCGTTCCTGATATTAGCAATTTGTTTCTTCCCTATTTCTCGTCCATCTTTGGAAAGACTGACCAACTCTCTCGATCATCTCCAAGAAACTGTTCTTTTTTAATTTCTTTTTTCTATTATTTCCTCATTCATAATTTCAGTGATTTCTGTTTGTATTTTAAATATTTTCTTCTTTAAAATTGTTTTTTCTTCCTGGGGATCTTGGGGTTATCTGCTTCTTCTTTTTCTAGGTTCTGGAGGCAGGCGTTCAAACTCTTCATTTCAGATTTTCTCCTTTCCTGACGTATATGTTTACTGCCATGAGTGTTCCTCTCAGATCTCTTTGAGCTCTGTCCTGCGACTTGTGAAATATTTTACTTTCATTTTATTCACTTCGGTATACTTTGTTATTTCCCCCGAGATTTTCTCTTGGACCCACGAATTATCTGCAAGGGGGCTGCATCACTTCCAGGCATTTGGACACCTTCCTGTTACCTTTCTGTTACTGGTGTCTGGTGGCATTCCCTGCGTGGCACCCATTCTCTCTTCTCTGCAGAAGCCTGTTCCACAGCCGGGGATGTGGTCCATCTGGGTTCCGTGGTCCCGGGGCCTCGGCCAGTCCACCGCGCAGCTGCCTGGCATCTGTTCGACATACCGCCGGGAGGGAACAGGGAACGCCACATCTACTCCATGCCAGGAGGCCAACACTACCCTCCTGACGGGGGTTTAAAGCAAATACTTTCACGTACACACACAGCGGCACCTGGCACTCAACGACACAGAGCCAGGCACTGTGTTAGATGCCAAGCACATCCCACCCTGAGCCAGTGCGCCAGTCACAGATGAGGCGTTCTTGTGTTTGCAGATGAGGCAACCGGCTCAGCGGGTCACTAACCACGCGCAGCACAGCTATTCCGTGACCGGACTCAAGTCAGGGCCCCCTCCAACCTGACAGTGTAGAACAAAGCACACCTGGCCGGGGGGAGGCTGGCCAGTGCGTAGTCCCGGCTTTGCCCCTGCCCGCTGTGTGGCTTGGGTGATGTGCTGGGCTGTGTCCATCTACCCACCTGTGAGCAGGACGGCAGGTACAGCGAACCCACAATGAGACCGCAAGAGGAGGGAAATCACGCTGCAAAGTGTCATCTACACACGCGTGAGCTGCCGCAGTCCCAGCGCATGGGACCGCCACATGCAATCAGGGTGCCTGCGTTCTGCCAGGCTGGTGGCCCCTCAGAGGTCCATGCCGTGTGTGTGTGTCTCTGAGCCCTTGGTGGACCAACAGCATTGGGGACGGTCCGATTAAAAATCCAGAGGACTCCCAGGTGTCCTTAGGATGCACCAGCTGCCCCTTGACCGTGTTCGCCTTTCCTATCCGAGCTCAGAGCCCTGCTTCACCCACGCGGGGACGCACACACAGAAGGCTTTAGGGACGTGCCGGCTGTGCTGGGTGTGCAGACCGTGCGCCACACACAGACATGCCAGCCACAGTGCCCACGGGCCTGATGCCCCAGAGTTGGCACCCCTGCTGAGTATGCCAACCTCCTGCCTTCCCAGGCCTTTCTCAAGTTCCGGAAGGTTCCACATTTCCCTCATGCTCCTCTACACAGTGAGCCTAGAGGCCCAGTCAGGGGCTGCTCCTCAGTCTGAAGGTTTTTTTCTGGTATTTTCTTTCCTCGGGCTCATCACCCATGTCCCACGGCCATCACCGGTAAAGCTGGTGTTAATACACTGAAATGAGCCCTGGGTCATGGTCGGTTCCCAGAGGAGAGGCGAGTGGAGGCAGAAGCCGTGTCCCTGTGTTTGTTGCACCTACGTTGTTCCGATGCAAGACAGACACACGACGCTGTGCGTGCGTCCCCGCCGGTGTGATGCTTCCACAGCCACACATGCACGAACCGCACCGCACACCCTGCCTTGCCCGTGGGTCAGCCCCACCTGCAAGGAAAGGCCGGCGGGTTAACTGCTCTGCATGTAAAGAGAAGCGTGTAAGGTCTTAAAGCCAATGGGACCTTCGAGGACAGCCCTTCCTGTAAATGACACTCAGATCCAGTTTTCTCTGGGGAAAGAAGGGACACGGCACCGGCCGTCCTCACTGCGACCTCCACGGGGTGCCCGAGGACCCCTCCCGGAAGGCTCGCGGGCCCTCCCCAGGGCAGAGAAGGAGCAGCGGAAAGCAGCTACGAGCAGACAAGAAAAATTTCAAAATGCACACAGGGCTTCAGCTCCACACCCCACGCCATGCTTGAGGCCGGGCTGCCCTGGACACTCAAGGCAAGGGCGGTGTCCGCAGGAAGAGGTGCCGACCGGAGCCATCGCAGCTCCACTGCTGCTCTGTTGCTGTCCCCTCACCTGGGCCCACGTGCCCTTGAACTCCGTGCCGAGCACGGGGGACGTGTGCCAGGGCCGCAACAGATGCGTCCTCGAGGTCGTCACCCCCCTGGGGAGATCCAGGACCGTGGGTGGCGAGGGTGGGTCTCGGGCGGCTCTGAAGCACAGAGCCGGGCTCGCGGACCCCGCAGAGCCCAGTTCCTCTGTAAAGGGTGGGGCGGGCATTCCAGCAGCTGCTTACGGCTCCAAGGAACAGTAGGGGGAGGTCAAAACCATGGACACTGCACCCCGAGCGCCCACGAGCTTTCCTCTTGCTCGCAGGTCGCGGGCCGTGGTTAGACCCCAGCGGGCTGCACTCCCCAGGCCTTTTGAGGTGCCCGAGACGTGGCACCCACGGAAACGTGTCCACACTAGCCGCTGCCGGAGCGGAGGGAACGAGGGATGCTTACCGGGAGCGCCTCTGTACAGACCACCGGCGCTGCCCGCCTGCGGCCCGGGCGGGGTGAAGGGCGCGTAATGTGGGGGTGTTGTCACTGGAAAAGAAAGCAAAGTTCTGTCACCGTGTCCTCCCTGAAGGTGTACGGCTGTCCACCACGCGGGCGCGGAGTCTCGCTTACCATACGGTGTTTCTGGAGACACGGGAAACGCCGGCGTGGGAGAGGCGGAGTCAGCGCTGCCCTTGGTTGGTGTGAAGGTCCTGCCACTGATCCCGCTGGGGTCTGGGGGGTACGCGGCGGCCACCGTCTGCAATGGGCACGGAGAGTCAGGGGAAAGCCACCCCCTGACGACAGGCCCGGGCCGGCCCACGCATGGGGACGGCGGCCAGGGCACCACGGGCAGCGCAGCCAGTGGTAGCCACCGTGAAGAACTTCAGTAACGCAAGGAAGGGGGAGTCCCTGCGGCCCAGCCACCTGCGACCGCGTGGAGCCGGCAGAGAGGGGCGGGCACCCGGCGGAGAACGGGACAAAACCCATTCCTGCTCATGGGCAGTGAGACCAGGGCACAAAGAAAAAGCAGAAGGACTTCTCCAAATAGTCCCTTTCTAAGCTATTCTGGGCTCCAAGTTTCCACCTAGACAATGGGAAAACACTGATGGGGATGTGCTCATCGTTTGGGGTTCGACCTACCTTATTACATTCTCATTAAAGCCTGGAAATGCTCTGTGGATCCCACCACGGGGGCCACGGCCATGCTGACCCACTTTCTTCCTGCTTCCCTTCCGTGGCCTGAGACCACGGGCAAGTCCATGTCCTCCTTGGCCACCACTGTGCACCCTCGAAACCCCTGCACGCTCCCGCCTCCCCCCACTGTGCAGTCTGAGTGATGAGGCCCAGCAGAGCCCACGGTGGCCACGCCGTGACTTCTGGGGCCAGGGCTGCACACCTGGGCTCTCCCAACCGCACCCCTGCCTTTCCGGGAGAAACCCCGCCTATGAGATGGGAGGGAGGCGGGGTGGCAACAGGACCACAGTCAGGAATGGGACCTGTCCAGCTACCAGGGGGATGGTGCGTACCTCCTTGGCATCTGCTGGAGAGAGGAAAGGCGCCAGACCTGTGGCCTGGTCTGCACCGGGGGTCTTCCCCCATCCACATCTGGAGAAGGCTGGCTGCCCCCCAGCATCGTTGTCATACTGCCCGAGGCTCAGCTTCCGGAATCTTCCGCCTAGTGGCTCGTCCCCCGAGGAGCCTGACAAGAGACACACACGTGGACTGCAGGTGCTTTTCCCATAGCAGAGGACAGAGTTCTTAATTAAAAGCTGACTACAATTTCCCAAATTGACACTTATTTTTCCTAGTTCCAGAACCTTTTCAGCTCCCACTGCCCATTCCCCTCCCCCTGCCCCTGGCGACCTCTGGTCTTCCCAGTTCTGGATGTTTCCTAGAAACAGAGTCATCCACTGGGTGTCCTCTGCTCTCTGGCTTCCGTTGCCAAGCGTGCTGTCCCAGCCTGTCACTATGGGAACCCACTTTTGTTCATTTCCCGCTTCTCCCAGCATCATTCCCAGAAGGGGTCTGTGTGCCTCTGCTCCCCGCTGTCTCGCACAATCCAGCGCTGTGGAAGCACGCGGGAGAGCCCATGAGGCCAGGATGGAGCCCACCCCCCGTCCTGGACCGTGCACGGAGGATTCTTGGTGGCCGCTACGCTGTGGTCTGCGCGCTGACTGTATCCTGTTCACAGTCAGAAAAACAAGACGCCGGACGTCACTGGAGTTCAACAGCAAAGCCCCTCAAACCTCTTTTCTGAACTGTATTGAAGAATCGGCAACATCCACCTGCCCGAGCCCATGTTTCTCCTTTTCCGTGAAGAAGCCACATCCGGGGGAAGGGGAGCAGGAGGCCAGAGGCAGGAGGGACAGACTCAAGCTGAAGCAGCACCACGGGAACCAGTGGGTGCGCTCAACCCTCCCCCCAGCGGGGGTCCCTTCTGAGAGGACCACGGGGAAAGGGGGCAACAAGCCCTGGGCTCCCTCGGGGGACCTCCTGCGAGCACCAGGCCCCGGATGCTAAACCCTGGACGCCTCCGTCCCATCTCCGCCCCCCCGCACAGCCCCAGCCCCACACTCCTGTTCAGACACCCCCCGCCCCGCTCTTCCCAAGCGCTCGTCTTCCCAGCCAGCAGCTGGGACACGGGGACCTCACCAGCCCCTCAGTCACAGAGGATGCCACAATCGATGCAGAAAACACGGCAACCCGGGACCAGAGAGTCCGCAAAATCGCTGGGGACCCACGCATCCACCCACAGTCCTGGTCACCAAAGGACTGGCCTGGGCGCAGCTCTTCCTCCAATGAGTGCCATGAGCCCGTCCCACCGGGTGACCCAGCGGCCCCTCGGCTGGAAGTTCACATCTTCACTCTGGTGTCTTTTCCTCCTGCCACCGGACACCACATACCCTGGGCCTCCCCCAAAGTCGGGTAGGTGTCCCTGGGAGACCCTCTCAGGGCCATTCCCAAACACCAGCATGTCTCCTTTTTGCAAATCCACTTCATTCCCAGGGAGGGGGTGGTGCTGGGGTCAAGGACAGGACAGACACCCCCCGCTGAGCCTGCAAACCCTGTGTCAGCTTGGCCTTGGCCAGGCTCCAGGAGGCTCAGATTCACTGTGGGGTGCAGGGGCTCGCAGGCTGGGTCATTCAGTCATTCTGTGGATACGCAGGGACGGAGCACGGCTGTGATCCATCATCAGCCCCAGGACAGAAGGCATCTCAGCCCCTGGCGCGCCCGCTCACCCAGTCTTTGACGGATGCGACTTACAGCCGCTGTCACCAGAAGGTGCGGCAAGGCCCAGGGCAGGGAAATTCCAGGATACCTGGACGCCCCCACTGAGCCCCCAAGGGAAGCCCAGGATTCAGGCCAAAACCGTGGGGTACCCACAAAGCACTTCGCAGCAGGACTGAATTCAGCCTGACCTGGGAGATCAGCATTGTGGTGGCCCACTGCCACGGAGTCCACAGAGCAGCAGGAGGGGACTGGCTCAGATTACTCAATAAAACCCTGGATTAAACAACAACAACAACGACAAAAAACCCAGAAGCCCCTTGACAAGTCTGCACCTGTTCATAAATACACCGATCTTTCGGAACTCAACACCCGTTTGTATCTTCCTTACACTCCAACAGGGTGATTCAGACCTCTGGAGGTGACAGTCTGATCTTGTCCACAGGTGAAGGACTTGAGAACTCACAAGGTGGGGTCCGGGCCCCTCCTCTGCCCTGTGGAAATCAAGCCCAGACCAGGCATCACCACCCTGATCCCCAGCACTTGACATCCGTCCAGCTTCCAAATTCCACAACAGGGCTGGAAAAGGTTTGTACCAGCCCTCTGGGTGGGCGGGGTCAGCCCTCCGGGTGGGTGGAGCGCAGAGCCATAAACACAAAACAGCCATTCTCAAACTTGGCTGCACATTAGAATCGCATTAAAATTCCTGGTGCGCAGACCTCACCCCTTCCCTGGGAAGGCAGAACCCGCGGGAGTGTGGCCCAGAGCCTGGCATTTTTCTAACAACTTCCTGGTGCCCCTGACTCATGACCACGCCGAGCACAGAGGCAGGTCTCCAGCGGGAACTCCAAGAAGTTCCAAACGTGGGGGGCATTTAAAATCATTCTGATGCCCCCATCGCGGCCCAGGTCAACCCACGCCGGCCCTCTGGAGGCAGACGCTGTCTCCGCATCTGGTAATGCTCCCAGGTGACTGCTCTCTGTAGCCCGGGGAGCCATCTGCGGCCCCGGAAGTAAATGCAAACCTCCGAGAACACGCCCTTTGTTGTGGATCTGGGCCCCTAGAATGCGCAGTGCCCAGAAGCCATTTATTTACCTCCAGACAACCTCAGAAGAATGAAGTACTGGGTCATACAGGCAAGCACACTGAGTTCTGGAAACTCCCTTGCATTCCTAGGAGTGAGGACAAACAGCAGCCAAAGCCTGCCCCATGGCTGTGGTCGTGGGAAGCCTCCCCAGTCCAGCTCCTTCAACTAGACACGTGCATCTTCTCAAGAGAGGGTGGGCGAGGTCAAAAGACCCGCTCCGCGCTACAGTGCCCGGCTGAAATGCTCCCAGAATGGCTCCAGGAGCCTTATTCTCCCTAAGCTGCCACGGGGATTGCCCGTCCCTGCCACCTGCAGGGTATATAGGCGAAGAGCTAGGAGACGTTTGTTAGAAATTCCCAGCACTGGCCAACACTCAAGACTGTAGCAGAAGCCGCCTCCAGCAGCAGAGACCTCTCTTTCTGGGTCCCTGGCCACCCTCTGCGGCCCCATCCCCACACCAGGGGAGCCCATGGGAATGGGCTGCCGCTGGCACCACGAGGCCAGGGGGCCAAAGAAGGCCAGCCTGTCTTTTGGATTGCAAAACTGAAAATCCTTTTCACTGGGAAACACCGAACCCTTTGGTTAGGTCACATTTCTTCCCAAAAGGTGCACTTAAAATGGAAAGGATGTGTCCCAAAAGCTAGAAGGCCATCCTTCCAATATGAGAAATGTTAGCCAACCTCCTCCTACTGTTCACTCAAAATCAGACAGGACCTCAAGCAAAATGCACGAAGCCACACAGCGACCAAAAGGCAAGTTCCCACCCCCCACCCGACTCACTGAAAACACCAAAGGCAGAGTCTGGTGCCTGGCTTTGGGTCCCTTCTGCCTCTTTGAATATATTTTCCCCTTGAATGATTTGTCCCCTCCCCAAAGCACTAGGTCTTGCTGGCCTGCTCCTGAAACATGCCGTCTTTCAGCAACCGTAGCTTTTTTTTTTTTTTTTTAAGATTTTATTTATTTGTCAGAGAGAAAGAGAACAGGAGTGGGAGGAGGGGCAGAGGGAGAAGCAGGCTCCCAGCTGAGCAGGGAGCCCAATGCGGGGCTCCACCTCAGGACCCTGGGACCATGACCTGAGCTGAAGGCAGATGCTTCACCCACGGAGCCCCCCAGGCATCAGCAACCTTAGCGGGACACAGGAAGGTCGTCGGAGCTGTCCACTTCAGGACCACCCTCGGGACAGGGAGGTGCAGGCCGGTGCCTCTGCCAGCTGCCCCTGCTGGAGAGGTCGTGACCTCTCTATCCGGACACAAAAGACCTTACCAGCCTTACCCAGGGGTTAAGTAAATGACAGTTGTCTGTAAGTGACGGTGCACACGGCCATTAGGGGATCGCATCCGTGTGGATCCACCAGTTGTTAGCACATCCACGCCAGAGCTTCGGGAAAGAAGCCACCTGCGTCGGAGGCCAGGGGGGTCTCCAGAGCGAACTTTTCAACATCGGAGGGGGTGGTCCCTTGACAAGTTAAACCAAGAAGGGCCATGTGGCCCTGGGGCAGGGCCACATGGCCCTTCTTTAACTTGTTTAACTTGTTTCAAGCACTGAAAACATTCAGGGGCGCCTGGGGGGCTCAGTGGGTTAAGCGCCTAACTTCAGCTTAGGTCATGATCCCGGGGTCCTGGGATCGAGTCCCATGTCGGGCTCCGCACGCACAGGGAGCCTGCTTCTCCCTCGCCCCCTGCCCTGCCCCTTCTCTTCTGGAGCTCTCTCTCTCCTTCTCGCTCTGCCTCAAATAAAATCTTAAAAAAATAGAACTGAAAACATTCAGGGTGTTCACGGCAGTGCTATTCTCAACCGCCAAAGCACGAAGCGACGGATCTATGCTCGGGTGAGCGGTATACACACTGTCCGATCACCCCGCGGATACAAGGCAGCCTCACAGAGGAAGGGCGCTCTCACACATGCTGCCACCTGGACGAGCGTGGAAAAGCGGACGCTCAGTGAAAGAAATCAGACACACGCCGTACACGTCCATTAAACGAAATGCCCAGCACAGGCAAATCCAGGGTCGGAAGGCAGATCGGAGCAGCCAGGGACCAGGGCTAAGAGACAGGACTGACCGCTAATGGGGACCGCACACTGCACAAGTCACTGAACTTGGGGCTTTAGAAAATTGCCATGGATGCACCCCCTGGCCGTGCTGAGCTGCTCAGAGGCAGCCGTCCTGGTGTTGACATGACCTTGGGTTGCTGCACGTCTGTGCATGTCTCCTGCATGGAAAACAAGGCGTGCAGGGCAATGACGTCAGGCTGCTTTCTGAGTGCCCACGTACCCTCATGTTCTCACACTGGATCCCTCTGTTTGGGGTTTAACATCTAACGTCGATGGGTGGGCTTTCCAGGATCGATGATTCAATGTTGCTACTTCTCAGGGCACCCAGGTGGCTCAGTCTGGGAAGGGTCTGACTCTTGAGCTCAGTGCAGGTCTTGATCTTAGGGTCACGAGTTCAAGCCCCATCATGGGCTCTGCGCTGGGCAGGGAGCCTGCTTAAAATAAAGCTGCTCCTTCTCATTGCTCGGAATTCCCCTCGGTATGAACAGGTTCCCTGACTCAGTATTAACACGGTGGATGGATCCTGTCATTGTGGGCTTGGGTCGAGGTAACATGGACAAAATATTTGGCAACATGAAGCAAGGAGCCCTTGAGAGATGGGAAAAACGGAACTGGCTTCCTGCCATCTGTGGGGCCATACCTCTCACAGACTGAGTCCTTTCTTTTGCTACCTGGACATCATCAGGCAAAGTTTCCCCCACCTGAAGGATGTGACCCGAGAAACCTACCTACGTGCTGGGCTGCAGGGAGGGGCGCACACACCCAGGGCGTCAACCAGAGCAAGAGAGAGCCACAGAGGCACAGAGGGAGTAAAACACCCCAAAACCCACCCTCCCACCTCACTCCCTTTCACGAGGTGAAAGCTTTCCAGCAGGACCCTCTCCTGTCTTGCGGGAAGGGACGGGCTCCCTACACTGTCCTGTGACGAGCCTCTTGAATTCAGCAGAGCCACATGGGTCCTCGGAGAGTCACTGCCTTCCTGCCGGCACCACACCCTCTACTGACAAACATCGCCGTGCGCCAGGACACAAAGAGGCTTTCTGGCCGGCGGCGGAGTCCGAGGTGAGTGCAGTAAGGGCTCAGCCACGGGGCGCACAGTCAGACAGAGGAAGTTCTGGTTACGTACCATGGTAGACACAGAGATCGTGGGTGACTCAGAGAAGCTCAAGCATGATGCCTGGGACAGCACAGGCACTTACTTACAAGTGCCTACCGTCCCTGCTACCGTCATTGACACCATTATCACGCCAGTGGTCACCACCACCACCACCACCATCACCATCGTCACCATCATCACCATCATCACCTTCATCGTCGTCACCACCACTGCCATTAATACAGTGCCGGTATCGAGTCGACTTTCTCGGGAAATGCTCAGCTTTCACATACAATCTTCCCCCCAGAAGTAACCAGACCCACAGTGTGTGTGCAGCCAGTCATGAGCCGTGAGGACACGCAGCAGTCTCCAAGAGTAGCTATGGGGAATTCCCAACTTCCTAACACTAGGTAACTGGTGGTCTTTCTTAGGATCAGTCCACATTCTACAAAGAGTGAGGGATTCTACTTGCCTGCAGATGCTGAGGTCCCTGTACCCAAGTATTTGCTACAGGAGAACTGCATCTGAGGCACAAGGCAGACCAGGCGGGGTCTCGCTGGAAGGTACAGCACCTGGGAACTTGCCCACCCCTTTCCTGTCTGAGCAAGACTCAAGGTGGCTCAGGTGAGACACGTGTCGATGGGGCCAAGCCTCAGGCACACAGGCACAGACACGATGCACGTGTCAGGTGACGTGTCAGGTGACGTGTCCGGTGATGGCCACCATGCTGGGACCGCCATGGTGTCTTTCAGACTCGCCAGTCCTCCTGGCTTGGCCACATGTGGCTCAGCTCAGCTGAGCAAACCTGGCCTCCCCATCGAGGCTCAGCACAGGGTTCGTGCATTGCCAAACCTGGAACGTGCCAGGACTCAAAACCAGTTGGTTAGGGACTGTGCCCCTCTGTGTTGAGGCCCTGCTGGGCCCGGATCCCCTCATCCCCACCATCCTTCCCCATGCCCGAGTCTCCTGCTGTCTCGGGCCTACCAGACCCATAAGCAGCCCCCCACTCCCTGCAAGGCCGGCTAGGTGCATAGCTGCTGACCCGTCCACACAAGGCTGTGCCCAGAGGCCCCCCATCCTTTCTGCAGTCCTCCCCCAGACCCAGGGATGAGCCCAGCACTCCTCTGCTGGCCCCGTCCCATAAGACACAGATGCAGACAAGTGTGCATCCCATGGGACTCCCACTCACCTTGCCGCACAGAGGCCCTGCCCGGGCCCTCTCCTATGTCCTGCAGGCCGCTTGCCCGCAGCCCACCTCCCCTGCTGTCAGGGGGCAGGGGGCCGTTGGCCTGGCTGCCCAGCGTGTTCATGTGGGTGGGGATAGGCTCGAAAGTAGGGTCCAGCTCCAAGATGAGCCTGTTGAGCTGCTCGATGGACTGGTCGATGTCCAGGGTGGGTGAGCCCGGGGAGGGGTCCGCGCTTGGCTCCGGTCCAGTCCCATTCACGACTCTGACGTCTGGAAATCTGGGCTTGAATGCTCTGCCCGGAGGGGGCCGCTGTGCATCGGGGACCTGGGGCCCGGGACCCAGGCTCCTCTGGAGGGCCATTCTGCTGCCTGCCCCCCGAGTGGGGGTGACTGGAACCCTGGGCTGGGACTGCACCAGGCCAGAGCCGTCCTCCGGGCCGCGGCCCACGAGCCTGGCCTCAGCGTCGGGCGCGAAGCTGTACTGGTGGGCAGCCACCATCTGCTGCTGGCGTACCCAGGTCTGCGTGGAGTAGCCGCTCTGTCCGTAGGCCTGCGTCGGGGCGGACACCGAGGGCCTCTGGAGCACTGGTGGTGGCTGCATGCACTCTCGGGTCCCGAACGCCCGCTCCCGCTCGTACAGGGGTTCCACGCCGAGGCTCAGGTCAGGGGCAAGGCTGCCATGGGCGTCCTCGCCAGCGTGGCTGCCAAACCCGTCCGACAGGAGGGAGTTCTGGCTGCTTTGGTGGCAGGCTAAGGGGCCCAGGTGGGCTGACGGGTGGCCCTCTGAGGAGGACAGGGTCCCGATGCTATCCACGCTGTGCAGGTCATGGCCAGGCATCTCGTCGTCCAGGATGTCCGTCTCCCGGTCCTTGAGTGTGGCGTCTCCGTTCACGTGCACCTGAGCTGGCACGACGTGGCGTGTCCCGCCGTATTTGCTGGGGGCATCCGTCATATCCTTGATGGGGCTTCCGGAATCCTCCAGGCCAAAGCCACTGAGAAGCTGGTCCAGCTCAGCCTTCTCCTGAGGGCTCAGGCCCCTCCTGGACCCCACGGCAAGGGGCTCCTCGGTCTTGTCGGTCCTGACGGAGGCGGTGGAGTGGCCAGAGTCGCTGCTGACAGATAGGGTGTGGTCGCCGTGGTCCGGGCTGCTGGCGGTGGGGACGCCTGGAGACCCACCTGGGACGCCGGGATCCGAGGCACTCTTTTTCCTCACCTTGGCATAAAGACTGCCATCGACGGGGCCCTGTGTGTGCAGCACTGGGGGAGGAAACGGGAGACAGGTGGTAAGTCACGGCTGGAAAAGGAGCTCAGGCCACCAGAATGCATGTATCCATCCTCCCGAACAAATGAACTCCTGACAGACACCTCACCATAATGGGGGCGAGGACTCCTCGGGGCCCCCAAAGTCTACCCACACCCTGGCAACACGAGCATCAGCAAAAGCAATTCAAAGAGTCCAACAGCTTTGGGACCCAGGACCCTTTCTTTCTACCTTTCTGTGCAAAAAGAGCCATCACTTAGAGAACCTTTAGGAATCTCTGCACTTAGGAGTCATCTTGCCCCTAGGGCTCAGAGTTAATGTCTAATGTCGTCGTTAGTCTACATGCTCCGTACAGCTGAGCTCCTAAGCTCCTGGGAATGCAGAAGCAGGACATAGGGTGTGGGGGCCCTGAACCTCATGGGGAGAGAGAGAGGCAGGACTCGTCTGCAGACTTCCCAATAGCACAGCATCCCTCCACAGAGAAGGTCCAGCAAAGGCACAGCAGGACGCAGGAGACGGGAAGCAGATCTGCACTGGCCTCCGGCCGCCAGGACAGCCGGGAAACACGCAGGGCCGAGGCAGGGGCGGGAAGAGCGCGGCTCTCTTCCGCTTTTACTACTTCCGACCCTGGCCTCCACCTGCTGCTGGGCAGCTGGGCAGAGCCTGGGGCCGGGGACCTCCTCTGGTCTCCCACAGGGACACGGCAGGCAGAGCGTGACAAGGGGGCTGTCCAGGGTGGTTTCCACACTCTCTGGTCACCGGGGAGCCACCGTGGATCCGCAGCAACTGGGCCCCTGGAGGAACCAGCCCCAGACCTGGGCTCCAGGCCCCGGCATGCGGGGTACCCTGGCACAGTCAGCGGCTCCCAGTGGTTTTGGAAATGCTGGGATATCAAGACAGGACTGAGACCTGTGGGGTATCACAGGTTCTTGTGTGGACGGGCACATGTGACCTTGGGCTTTCTTCCTAATGGGCCTGGGAGAAGCAGGACGAAGACAGCGTGTGACCGCACCGACCCGCAGCCACAGCAGAGCGGGGAAGGGGAGGACCCAGAAGATCCCGCGAAGACACTGCATGGTGGGAGCTCAAGGGCAGGGGCTGCACTCCGACTCGGGGTCCCAGGGCGACGGACCAGGAGCCTGGCTGCATTCCGGAGCACCTGCTCAAGGGCGGACGCCCGCTCGCCCGGATTATTGCAGGACGGCTGTCTAGCGAACTAACTCGTTCCTTCCTCCCAAGTACAGAGCTGAAGCTCCGCAGGAACTGGCCACTGGCTGAGGTCAGGCAACTGCTGGGAGGTGGAGGCGGGACCAGAACTCAGGCCGCTTGGACCCTGGGCACCAGCGGAAAGGACCCCAAATTCCATGGCTCCCAGAGGAGGGGCTTTCCAGGCCCGACATGCGTTCAACTCGGTTTCTGTGGGAGACCCCTGGGGCCAGGAGGGGATCTTCTGTAAGACCTGCCGAGCATGCGCCTTCCCTCTGTCGGCAGAGTGCAAGGCCAGGGGTGGCTGTCGTCCACACCACTCCCCGCCCCATGACAGAGACAAAGGGGTCAGAGCAGTCCAGGCCAGTGGGTGAGGCGCTGCGGCACAGCCAGGCGGGCGTCCACAAGTTCTAGACACGCAACTCATGCTGCCACAGCTGTGCATCCGTGACATCCACGTCCTGCTCCCCAAATCCCACTTAAATGCAGACACCATGACTTAAAAAAGGAAACCAGCAAAGAGAGGTACAGAAGTTCTTCTAATTGACAACGGGACACGGGGCAAAAGTACCATTAATCATTCTGAGTCAGAACCCCTTGGCCAGACCCACGAAGAAGGGTCTACATGACATGGTCAAGGGCAGGAAACCCCCTTGCCTGGGGAGTCGTGAGTACCCCTATCGTTATCTTTACTAGTGGGAGCCCTGTCAAGAGAATAACAAACGTGTTACAGCAACACCATTACTGCAGACCCAACACCAGCACCACGCAAGGCCCAACGCTCAGGACAAGGGATCCTCAGCTCCCGGGGTTGGGAAGGGGGCCTGGGGCCTCCCCATGGGCAGCACAGGGATGGGACGCAAACCATCGCCAGCATGGGCCCTCCCTGAACTGCTCCGACGCACACAGATTACAGGACGCACATTACAGCTACAGGAAAGGAACAGGACCCGCATCCCTGAAGCCCCCAGACAGACCCGCCCGAACCTGCAGGTCCCTCTGCAGGAGCTCAGACTCTCCCAAAGGCATGGGATGTGTCCAGAGACGCACCCACTTGTGATCTCAGGGAGTGGGAATGTCTCGCCCATGGGGCGAGGAAAGGGGCCTCTGGCCCCCACTCTGTACTCTGAGCAGGGGTTTCCACCTGGTAAGAAGGAACGGGACTGGTTTTCCAGTGGGAAGAATGCGACACCCGTGTTCCCATTCTGCATTTACACTCTGTGCCCTTCGCTCGCACTGAGACTGCTCCAGCCCCTGGTTCCTCAGTTACAAAGTGGAGTGATTAATCCCACCTCTTAGTGCGGTTAGAAGAAAGAGAAAACAGGTGTACAGGCGGCCAGCGGGCTGCATCCCTGGGAAGAGCTCTGTCCCTGGTAGATGGAGCCCAGCACTCCCTCAGGGCCTCATTTCCCACCTAACCCTGCTGCTTCCAGACCCCAGCAGGCACACACGTGCACCTGCCCCAGGGCCTTTGCTCCTGCTGTTCCCTGCCTCCATTGCTCTCTGTCCTGGCTCACTCCCTCCCCTCCTCCGCCCGGCCTCCCTGACCATCCTTTCCCCAGGGAGGGGTTCCATCTGCCACACCCATACTCAGACACTGCAGTTTCGAGCGAGTGTTAGGGACCATCTACATCCCCCACAAGAACACAGCCTCTGGCTGGGCTGGGGGTTTGGGAACCTGTGGTATCCCTAAAATTAGGGAATAGACTCCAGTACCTAGTAGGCAACAAATAACCAAGAGAGCCAATGTTCTAGCACGTTCACACACAGGGAAGACTGAGGAGCTGTTCTAGAAGGTTCCTCTATCTCAGTGGGCAAAAGAACTGAAAACCAACCAGCCCAAACAAACCCACAGCCACACAGCATGAAGGCAGGCGTGCCCACAACCCCGGGACCCCCACTCTCCTGCAAGCAGCTACCACCCCCACCGCGAAACCAGCCGGCTGGTCTGCACAAACAGAGCAAGGCTGCAGGGGCACCGAGGTCGCCCACGCCAAGGCTCCAACACGCCAAAGCATGCACACGCAGTGAAGGTACAGCTGGCCCGGGGCGCCTGGGGGGCTCAGTTGGTTGGGCAACTACCTTTGGCTCAGGTCATGATCCTGGAGTCCTGGGATCAAGTCCCATATTGGGCTCCCTGCTCGGCGGGGAGTCTGCTTCTCTGTCTGACCTCTCCCCCCTCATGCTCTCTACCTCTCAAATAAATAAGTAAAATCTTAAAAAAAAAAAAAAAAAAAGGTACAGCTGGCCCACCGGCAGGCAGAGGGACCAGATATGCCCCCGGGTCGCCCAAAGGTCACCGGGCATTGGCGCAGGGGTGTGGCAAAGAGCAGAGCACGCGCCGGGTGCATAACAATGGCAAGGTGTCTTTGCCCCCACCATCCTCCCAACTGTCCTCCTTCCCCTCTCTCAGACCCGCCCACTGCCCCGCCTCCCCTCCCCTCAGACCCGCCCAGCAGAGGCTTCCCTGAAAGAAGGGTCTTTCCCAACAGCGCCACAGGCGGGAAAGGGGCTGCGGCACCCGGGAAAGGACCCGCTCACCGGCCCAGCGCAGCTGCCGTGTTTCCGACACCCGAAGTGAACAATGCAACCAGGGCCCCACACAGCTGCCTGCAGAGCCCTCCCCCGGAAACTATCAGGAGCCCGTCCCCACCCCCATGCGCAGCCCCCCAGGGGCTTGTCTCAATCCTTAGGGACACCCCTGTTTAGTGATGGCAGAGGACCCCTTGGGGGGCCCTTGGGGGTCTGGAAAAGAAAGGGGAAAAGTATTACACCAGGGCCCAGGCACAGCCCTGACTCCGGCTGTGGTCCCAGATCCCCTGTGTGGCTGGTGTTTT